TATTTCATTACATTTATTGATGATTGTTCTAGATACACTTATGTATATCTCTTAAAGCATAAAGATGAGGCCTTTAATGCCTTTAAGAGTTACAAAGCAGAAGTGGAAAATCAATTAAGTAGAAGTATAAAAGTCCTTAGGAGTGATAGGGGCGGTGAATACTTTTCTACTGAGTTTGATGCGTTTTGTGAAGAACATGGTATAATACATGAATGTTCGGCACCTAGAACACCACAACAAAATGGCATAGCAGAAAGAAAGAATCGAACATATCAAGAAATGATGAACGCCATGTTATTGCATTCCGAACTACCTTTCAATTTGTGGGGCGAAGCTTTATTATCCGCTTGTCACATAATAAATAGAATTCCCTTAAAGAAAAGTGGAATTTCTCCATATGAGGTATGGAAGGGCATGACACCAAATATTGGCTATTTTAAGGTGTGGGGGTGTGTGGCATATTACAAAAACATGGATCCTAAGAGAACCAAGTTGGGTCCTCGAGGGATAAGATGTGCATTTGTAGGATATGCACAAAATAGCAAAGCATATAGACTGTTAAATTTAGAGTCTAATATTATTGTTGAATCCCGGGATGTAGAATTCTTTGAAAACCTTATAACTAAGGATAAAGAATCAGAGTCGGCCATAAATAAAGAATCTTGTGAAAAGGACTCTTCTCGGATTGTAGAAATACAACCTGAAGACACATCTCGAATAAATGAACCACGACCCGAACCTAGGATAAGCAAAAGAGTCCGGAAAATAAAGAACCTAGGACCAGACGAAATTGATTCTCAATCCATTTCATTTTATCTGGTTGAAGGAAATAGTACAAATTTTATTAAAAGCATTCCGGTAATTCTTCAAGTAGGGGAAGATCCTAAAACTTATAAGGAAGCAATAGCTTCAAGAGACTCCTCCTTTTGGAAAGATGCTATCCGAGATGAAATGGATTCAATTATGTCCAACCACACTTGGGAACTTGTTGATTTACCAAAGGGATCAAGACCCATTGGATGCAAGTGGGTGTTTAAAAAGAAATATCATAGTGATGGTACATTAAACACTTATAAAGCAAGATTAGTGGCAAAAGGATTTAGACAAAAGGAAGGTATAGATTATTTTGACACCTATGCACCTGTAGCGAGAACAACCACTATAAGGTTGTTGTTTGCTTTAGCATCTTTAAATGATCTGATTGTTCATCAAATGGATGTTAAAACAACATTCCTAAACGGAGACCTCGATGAGGAAATCTACATGGAACAACCAGAAGGACACGTCCTTCCTGGAAATGAACAGAAGGTGTGCAAACTTGTCAAATCTCTATATGGCTTAAAACAAGCACCAAAACAATGGCATCAAAAGTTTGACTCTACGATAATGTCAAATGGATTTATTCCTAATTCTTGTGACAAGTGTTTATATACAAAAGTGTATAATAACACTGTAATATTTTTGTGTCTTTATGTTGATGACATGCTAATAATTAGCAATAGACTTAATGGAATTCTAGAAACAAAAAGGTTTCTAACTTCCACTTTCAAGATGAAAGATCTTGGGCTTGTTGACACAATTTTAGGAATAAAAGTTAAGCAAAATAGTGGGGGTTATGAACTTAATCAAACACATTATATTGAGAAAATGCTTGATAAGTTCAAACACCTGAAATTCAAGGAAGTAACTACTCCATTTGATCATGTAATCAAACTTGAAAAGAATGATGGAAGAGCAGTGGCTCAATTAGAATATGCAAGTGCGATCGGATGTCTTATGTACTTAATGCAATGTACTAGACCCGATATATCATTTGCAGTTAGTAAAATGAGTAGATTTACTAGTAATCCAAGTAATGAACATTGGAAGGCAATCACGAGGATATTTGGTTATTTGTTGAAAACCAAAGATCTTGGCCTTCATTATGGTAGGTTTCCTGCTATACTAGAAGGATATACCGATGCCAGTTGGATCTCTGACGTGGGAAATCACAAATCTACAACTGGGTGGATATTTACACTAGCTGGAGGAGCAATTTCCTGGAAGAGCAAGAAACAAACATGCATTACTCTTTCGACCATGGAATCAGAATTCGTGGCTCTCGCTTCCGCTAGTCAAGAGGCAGAGTGGTTGAGGGATCTTCTTTTGGAAGTTCCATTGGCTAAAGACAATGTTTCAAAGGTAATGATACACTGCGATAGTCAGGCCACTTTGGCAAGAGCATTTAGCGAAGTGTATAATGGAAAGTCCAGGCATATAGGACTTAGACATTCGTTCGTAAGAAAACTGATTAAGGATGGAATCATTTCACTTACGTATATACGAACAAGCTATAATTTGGCTGATCCGTTTACTAAGCCGCTGGCCAGAGACTTAGTAAGAACAACCTCGAGAGGTATGGGGTTGAAACTCCTTGAGTAAGAGTTACGACAATGGCGGCAACCCAATCTTAAGTTAACAGAACATTAACGTTAAGATTTTCAATGGGTAACAACAAGTCGTTGATTTGGATGATTGTCTAACATTTCATAATTATGTTGACATTAGAAAAGAGGGTTGAGTTTTATCTTAAACTCTTAATGAAGTTCAATACCGAGGGTACGTATCTATTGGAAACAGATACTATATGAACTTCACCTATGTGAATTATGAGATGGTGCCGTCTCAAAGTGAGAGTTGGAGTTTCTCTCATGAAAAAATTCATGAAACAGGATAGCACATGGCCATAAATAAGTGCTAAGCGAGTTATGCAGAGGAAGAATCTTTAAGGAGTGTGTGTAAGGTAACACCGGTCTATTCAAATGGATTCATGGTTTAAAAGCATTGCTACCTAATATTCCGATTAAACCTTGTGTTATTCTTACTAAGGTTAAGTTTAAAATCGAAAGATACTTAACTGTATTAATACTTCTTATGCCCCATTTCTGGAATTATTATTTTGTCATTATTAGAACAAGTGGGGGATTGTTGGAAATAATAATTTATTTCCATTAAAGTTGTTCCAAAATGACAAAGTGGGTGTTATAATAAATGCTTAGTCCCACATTGGAAGAGGAGTAAAATTAAATAGCATTTATAAGGCACTTGGAACAATGTAATTTCCAAAAGAGCCAAAAAAGGATAAAGTGCCACATAGTCACATGTGGTGGTGCCAAAACTTATGTCACTTGTCTCATACAAAACACCCCTCGCCGGTGTCGCCACCGGCGACACCGGCTCCGGCTCCGGAACCGGAACCGGATCCGGGAGCGTGGGCGTAGAGGCGCTAGTGGCGGCTTGTAGACGGCACTTGAGCACTTAGGCACGACGCATCGGAGCAATCGGGCTATTCGCGGCGCCGGTGGCGCTCCGGCCGCCTCAGGCGGGCGGACCGGCCTTCGGCCGGTATACTGCGAATTTAATTTTTAATTATCGCTCAGACTTATTCGTTGCCTAGAGTTTGATTTTGAATTTGAAACACATGACACTTGACGAAGTGGTGCATGATATTTTATGTGAACCATTGCAAATGCTCATTAGAGAGTGTGTTTATGAAGAATTGCAAACTTCTGAAAAGACACATGCATGGCTATAAATATATGCTTCATAATTCGAAATCATTCACTCCAAATTCTGAAATCCTCTTCCATATAATTCCAACATTTTTCTTGCATTCGAAACTTCATCAGTCTTGTGCAGTTTCGAGAAAAAGGCTGACTTATCCTGGGTATTCAGGCCGTTCCAACTCTAAGACAATTTGAGAGTGTGCTTGAAATACTTTTAAGGAAAGTGATTTCGTTCACGATTCAGTCTGGATCCATTCGACATAGAAGAATTATCTAACATTTGCCAACATGACACTCATATTTGTTGTTTCCAAAATTGCCATGTTGTTCAACGGTTCTTAATTAAACAACGGTTCTTCAACAATTCGTATATTAAAATATTAGTTTTATAATATAAAAACTATAATTTAATATAAAATTTTATTTATCATTTTAATTATCATATAAAAACTATAATTACAATATTAAAATATTGATTTTATAATATAAAAACTATATTTTAATTATAAATTTAAATTATAAGTTTAATTTGAATTTTATTTATTTTATTTTTATTTATTTTAAATTATAATTTTAATTTTAATTTTTTTATTTTATATCAAATTTAATTTAAAACACTAAAATTAACTAAGAAGAGATTGAAATATTTTTTTAAGTTTAATCTAATTTTTTTTAAGTTTATATAGTAGAATGAAATATTTTTCCTTAAAACAACAATATATACCGGTTGGACTATATAGTAGACTAGAATAATTTTCTGTAAAACTATTAAAATTATTATTTTAAATGATATAAAATTTAATATGAATAAAATATTAACATATAAAGTAAATTTGGAAGACCCAATATGAAAAATTAGTTGAATTGTTTCAAGCTGACGTGACTTAATAGGTCCCACAAAAAATTCAAAAATAAATTCACGATTGGAGATGCTCTTAGATATGGACTTCAAATATTAATTGTGATGCTTAACTCAACATTAATAAAATTAAATTAACTATTTGACTAATCCTAAATCACAATAAAGAACAAAATTCTTCTTAAAAAGTTTTAAAGTTGTTTCACTCTTAAAACTAAATTCAAACATATGACTTATTAATCTGAAAAAATTCCTACCGTCTAATCATTAAAAACTTATTTTATTGGACAATATGTTTACAAAAATATAATCCAAAACGAAGGTTTCTCAATCGTCAAACAACATACCTAAGAAACACAAACACATGGAACACAACCCCGACACTGACACGATGACACCATTAATAATTCGAAAAAATTAATTAATTAAAAGTAATCACAAATATCAGTGCAGGTGTCTGACACAGATATGGACACATATGGACACGTTTTTTTCAAAGGTGTGGTGCTCCATAGCTAGATACCATACTAACTCACTAAGCTTTTGCCAATAATCAGAAATCCTCTCCTGAAGATGAATTATTTACAAACTCAATTTTAGATAACAAAAGAGAAGCCAAACAGCTCTTTAACCTCTGGCAAGCTTAAAAAACAATGCATGGAGGATGTATATTTACATACAAGAGAGAAAACCATAACCTTTTCTTTATCAACACGGCAAACTATTATTTAGTCGGCTGCATTCGCGAACGCAATGTACAAAACCTTACCTGTATAATTGGTTTCGTCGTTTCCTCACCATGAACCATTTTAGAACGTTGACTACCTTTCTCCATCGTCTCCGAGCTTTTCCGTTAGACATAGATGTAGAAGGTGCCAGCATGAAGCTATCAACAGCACTCTGCAAGTCTGCTTCAATTTGACACTGAGATTGAAGATCAGCCTCAAAAAATTGTAGATGATCTTCATCAGTGAAAGCATGGACAATTGAATCCGTGTCGCAGATCAAAGAGTTGGGTACTTGGAGCGGAAAACCAAGATTTTGATCGTATCTAAGGCCGATGCTGTCGAAATTTGGCAAACCATAGTCGTCCAAGCCACTACTTCCACCTACGGAATAAATGGATGGCATGATATCAGTAGAAGACGCGCTTTCTTGTGTGTAATTGAATCCTGCAATCTTTTGAGAAGCCATAAGCTTGTCGGCACTTGATCCCTCAGTTCTCGGAGAGTAATGTGCATTAGTTAAGTGTGAATAACCATCCATTAAGGAGGCTTCATCTTCGAAAGAGGTATAATCGCCTTGGCTAAGTGCAGAAAGAACCGATATTTGAGCATCAGCCTGATGGAGGAAAATCAAGTTTTGTAAAAATTAATACGAACTATGAATGGAAATAAGAAAGTAACGAGTGATTAGAGATAAATGCCTTTTCAGTTTCAGACAGCTTATCTACAGCTATATATTCGCATTCAGAGAGCAGTCCTGTGACTTGTCCCACGGCATTGAAGACTACACGAGGTTGTTGAGAATTTGAGGCGGATGACACATGCCTTGTTGTATCAAGGACGCAGGTTCGAGCATGCTCTACAGTTATTTCCCACATCTTTGCCGACATCCCAGTGCCCAATATCTACACATTCCCAACCAAAGAACTTAGTCATTTGCTCTAGATAAACCTAGTATTTATCTAAATCTGTCACATGAAAGTGTTTCAAAAAATCCTTTAAAAGACAATTGAAAAAAAAACAAATGTCAAGACGCTCTTTAGACAATTTGGCAGGTTTAGCAACTAGCGGTAAATTAGCTCTTACCGCTCGCAACTTTGTTGGGTCAAGATTGAGTAGTGTGAGAAAATCATTAACGGTACGGATCTTTTCACGACTCAAACGTCTGTGGAAAGCTCCGTCTTTGCCTATCTTTTCCAATCTCCAAATTTCATCCGAAAGACTTGGTGGGTGGTGTTTCTTGTACACTGCGCAGCGAAAAATCAGATGCTAAAGTAAGTTTTCTTTTATTGTTTAAACCAGTGAGTTGAAAAGCTAAAAAATGTTGTGTCATAACATAATTCGTAATTCCTTCATTTTCGCTAGTCGTGATAGCATCATGCATTTAAGCTGAAAAAAGGTTAGTATAAGTTCAAAATACTAATACTCACATTCTCCTCTGTGATCCCTGACAATAAACGAATCTGTCTTTGCTTCTCTTATTCTAATACCCTCAAAGTTGTCCACTACTCTTGCACCAAGCCTGAACCGACGGCTCCTTGTCCAGCTTGAATTATCTGTATATGAAATTTCACCCATCATACAAATCCCGTCTTTAAGATATAAAATCACTTCTCCTGTAAGGAGCGGTTTTTTTCCCTCCCTCTCTCTCACAATATTGTTCTTGAAATCTTCCGGCATCCAAATGTCACTTTCTTCTTCAAAATCACCTTCAAGGACTACAATTTCCACCTTAGCTGACGATTCAGGTCCTGTACAAACAACCTTCCCTGTTAAGGAATCAACTAAACGTATCCTTAAGTTCGATCCGTCCTCTCCTTCAATTCGAGCTCCTGTAAAGACAGGGAGAGAAATGCTGTTTTCAAACTGCAGCTGCAAAGTTCTTGATTCTTGAGTATTCAACTCCTTTCCACAGGTTCTGAAAACAAAATAAAAAAAAACATGCGTGTGAAGCGATCCAAGCTAAACAATTTCAGACCATTTAGCAAAAGCTTTTTATCCTAATCAATTATTTGAAGATTATTTCTTACTGTTTCAAGTTGTTCAAATGTTTCTTTATTGCCAATTCAACTTCCTCCTTAACCTGCAAAGACATATGATCACATTGTATATCAGTATAAGTGTTTTCATTGGGAACTAATATGCGGTTTCAAATAAACTAAAACAGACTAAAATCAATCAAAGTTCATACCACTCGACGAACCAAGGGCTCTAGAATCGGCTCCATCAAATTCCTAACTGATTGTAACTTCATCACCTCCCGCACCACACTAAACACCATTCATTACAACCAAAACAAAACGTCAAAAACATAACAACACAGTCCTATTAACAGTCAAATAAACTCCTCACACATAATATGGCTCAAAAATGCAGCCTCGTCATGCTGCAAACCAGCAAAATGCAGCTGCAATTATGGTTGCAATATCATTACAAGACCTCAAAACCTTTATCTCGTAGTTGCAGACCACAATTTAGAACTATATTACAACACTACGGCATTGGCCTTTTATCTTTGAACATGAAATTAAGCCTACTTCAATGCGAAAAAGGGATCAATTTGAACCCAATATTCGCAAAGAAACCCCATTTGTATTAAGACCAAAATTGATCCTTTTCACCTTCCTCCATTCCCATTTCCACAAAAAGAGAATACAAAAGAAGAGGAAAAGTAAATAACGAAACCTACCTACAAAAAGGAGGAGGCTTTCTACGCTTATCATCTGAACTCTTGTTATCATCGGGACCCCTTTTGAGCGACATGGTCGAAGAAAACAGCGCTGTTGTTGTGTTGTATTGGGTATTCAAAATCGAAACCGAACAACAACAACAGCATGGGGGTGTAGACAGAAAGAAAAGATAGGAAAGAAACAAAACATGCCACACCAATATATAATAAACAACCGTGAGGCCAAAAAGAGGAAGTAACAAATAAACGACAAAAGCAATAAAAAAAGGTCCAAGAAAAAAGAAATTACTATCTTTCTGGTTGGAACAAGAAGAAAAGGTACTAGGTTGTTGTGTATCTTGGTTTGTTTGGTGTGGGATGTTTCTCTCGGGTATGAAGATTTGTCGTGGTTGATGAAGAGGAAGAGTGTTTGTTACTTCTACGAGAAGAGTGATGAAAGCGAGAAGAGAAGATGGTGAGGTGAGGGAGGGAGGAGAGTGGGGGGTGGGACCGTGATAAGGCGTGTTTGTGTTGTTGTGTCTGTCTGACTTGGTAAAACTGGGGCCATAACCCACTGTTTCGGTTCAACGCGCTTCTAGTGGGTTTCTTGCGTTCGACAAATGAATTTCAATGTTTTTTACTTGGAGAATGTTTGGTTTATGGTTAGGGTAGAAATAGAACATACGATAACACAAGTTTATAAACTAGTTTACATAGGTTTAGGTTAGACTAAGGCTCTGTTTAATAAAATTAATTTATAGTTGTTACCGGGTAGTAACGGATAGTTTATAGTTGATGATTAATAGTCGATAAATTTATTTGAGTTTTGGTAAATTAGTTATTACACATTATGATAATTATAAAATGATCTAAAAGAACATTTTTAATTAAGAAATTTGTGATTTCATTATCTTATTATATTTTATTATTAAATTAAATTTTATTCGATAAAAGTAAATGTATACATAATAACATGCAAAAACAATTTTAATATATATGAAAAATTAAAAATATCATCAAAATATATAAATTTTGTGATCTTTGCTATTTAATATGAATATATTGACAACAAAATTCAATGAATAAAAGAACCAATAAATTATACATAAAATGGGGGTACTTAATAAAACTATTTATGAACACATAAAAGTAAAAGTAATCCTAATAATTATAATGTTTGGTCTGTTTTATTCATTCTTTCGTAAATTATAATTTTTTTTCTAATTTTATAATAAAATTTAATAAAATAATAACATTATAATTTTGAATTTAATTATATTAATCTAAAATAATAACAAAAATAAATTTATTGTCTAATATTTTACGATAAAACTGTAATAATATTTTAAATTTTCTTCACCTTTGTTGATTTCATTGATTCTACTAACTTGAAAATTATAAACACTATTTTTAAATTAATTATATAATTTATATTTAATAAATAAAAATAATGTCTAATAAAATAGAGAAAAATAGAAAAAAATCTTCTATAACATTCTTCAAAATCTCTCTAAATTCAATCATTCAAAATCAATTTTATATATATATATATATATATATATATATATATATATATATATATATATATATATATATATATATATATATATATATATATATATATATATATATATATATATATATATATATATATATATATATATATATATATATATATATATATATATATATATATATATATATATATATATATATATATATATATATATATATATATATATATATATATATATATATATATATATATATATATATAAAATAATAAGAGTGTAATTGAAATAAAAAGTCATAAGCTAAATGTTACAAGCTCAAAAGCTACTTTAAATAGTTTTCGAAAAAAAGCTAAAAGGTAGTTAAAAAACTATAAGCTAAAAGTTAAAAAACAATTATCAAACAAAGTTTTTTAATCAAAATGAGCTCAAAAGCTAAAAGCTTTTTTTTGTCTTACCAAACAGACTCTAAGTTATTTCTTCAAATAGAAAAGACTTAGGTTTTTTTATAAGTCTATTTAGTTAAAAACGCTAGGCTTCGCGCCATAAAAAAAAGGTCTTTTAGCCTAACATGTCGGCCTATTTAAATAAATATGAATAGTTTTTTATTATTGTTATGTTATGTTTTGTCCTTTGAATTAAAATACATAAATAAAAATTGATTATTTTGGAGAACTTATAAAAATAAGACGAAAACACCTTATGAACAATGTTATAAGATGTCTAGTTTCACAAAACCTATTCTAATAGGTAAGTTAAAATTGGTCAATGCAAACAAACTTTTAGTCTCATTGATTTTTTAGTTTGTTAGTCTATTTAAATATTATTATAATTGTTTATTTACATATGTCTAAAATAATAGGCTTTATGTAGGCTAACAGACTAATCAGACCTCAGAAAAGGTCAGGCCCAGGCTTTAAAATAAACTTATGACAGGCTACATGTCAGACTTAGACTTCAGTTTTTTTGGCAGAACAGACTTAGGCTTGGTAAAGCCTAACCCGACCCAGCCTATTTCCACCACTATTTATGGTGGAACAAAAATTAATTTTATTTAAAACAGAGTTGAATATGAAGTGTTTTTAAAAAAATATACTTCCTCCGACCCACGAGTGATCCATTTAGAATAAAACAGTGTCTTGAAATGAGTGATCTATTTTAATTTTCAATGCAATTTTTTCAATTTTATCCTTTAATTAATATTACTTTCATCATTCTCAATACATGATAAGGATAGTTTAGTAAAAATATCATTTTCTCTTTCATTTATTCTATTTTTTAATACGTGTGAAATGATCAAATAAGTCACTCACTATGGGACAAAGAGAGTAGTATTTTTTATTATAATTTTAGAAAGGAATATTGATTAATTAAAAAATATTATTTTATTATGAAGTATTATAATTTTAATTTTATAAAATTAAAGAAAGAAATATTAGTTAACTAAAAAATATTATTAAATACTTCTTTGTAAACTACATTTGATGTTGTATCTATATCTTCACATTTATTATTAGTCATCAATATCTTCAAGCCTTTTTCTTGAAGTAACCCTTGACATAACAACATATAGTTGTTCATGGGTGAAAATTGATTATGTAGATATACTCCAACGTGTTTGAGTGATTGTCCTTGACTTTTATTGATAATCATTGCAAATAAAGCAGTTAATGAAAATTGCCACCTTGAAATTTGAAGACTTAACATCCTTTTTGGTACCGTATCTTAATCTTGAGGTTCATTTTGGTCCCCTGGCTTTTAAAATGCCCATATTAGTCTCTTAACTCTTTAAAACGTTTCATATTAATATTTTTTTGTCCTATTAACGACGGAAAAATTCAATAATCAGTCGCTAAATTCGTCGTTAAATATACGATTGGGGTTATACACCATGAACTTTAAAGTGGTGGAGAAGGAAAGAGAATGGAACCCTCCTACACTCGTTCTGAATGTTTTGAATACAAGGCGCTCGACTTGGTTATTCGAAACATTCACCTCTATCCAAAGTCTTTTGTGTAATCCTAATCAAGAATAATTTCACCTAAAGAACCTAAAAATAACATCAACTTATCAAACTTCTTTTCGCCTTAGGGCATCAATCCGAAAACCCTTTTTCAAGGTATAAAATCAACCAACAAACAACCATTTCATAAGCCTCTGAACTACGGAGCTCTGATTCTTCATTTCTTTTAAGTGAGGATACGTAGGCACAAAAGCCACAATCCTTGGCGAGCATTAAAATAAAAAAACCAACCCCTCTTTCTTTTAAGCAAGCACACTTTTAATAATAAAAACACCAATTCACGCTAAACAACCTAGAAGGTTCCCATCGAGTACGATGGATGTGAGGGAGTGCTAACACCTTCCCCTCGCATAACCGACTCCCGAACCCTAAGACTTGGTTGCGATGACCATGCTTTTTCCTAAAGGTTTTATCGCTATTTCCCTTTCCCTCCTTGGGATAAATAAAATCCGATGGCGACTCTGTGTTATTTTTTGCGTAGCGACAACATAAAAGATTATGACATATCTTATTAAGGTCATATATAAGTAAAGAGAATTATCATGTAGGATATTTATGCCATGCTTACTTAGTTTGCAATGGTTGAACATTGGAGTATTGACTCCATTGAAATCAATCATGTTTACCCTAGCTAACAAGTCTTTGATATAATTGGTTTGAGTTAGAATTATAGCACCATTGGGTTGATCATGTACTTCAATACCAAGAAAATACTTTGGTTTTCCAAGTTTCTTGAGAGAAAATTTATGATGAAGTTTAAAGATTAGGTCATGAATTAGCTTAAGAGAGGTCTTTGTAAGTAAAATATCATCCACACACACTAATGCATACAAGCTTATGTACTAATGTTGATAAATGAAAAGCAATTGGTCACATTTACTGGAGGAAAATCCAAATTATATCAATGCTTGATGAAGCTTTTCATACCAAGCCTTATGTACCTATTTAAGTCCCTAAGTTTCCTTCTTCTGTTTGCAAACAAGTGTGGAATATATGTGAACAAAGTCATGGGGTTAATCCATATACACTTCTTCTTGAAGAACTGCATTCAAGAAGACATTTTTTATATCAATCTATTGGATCTCCCATTTGTATGTAAGAGCTAAGGACATGATGACCCTGATGGTGGTATGCTTAACTACATGAGAAAAGTTTCATGAAAATCAAATCCTTGTTATTGATAGAATCCTTTTGCTATGACCCTTGCCTTATACTTTTTTATATTGCCACCTGGATTTTCCTTGACCTTGAAAATCCACTTGCGACCAATTGATTATCCATGTGGTGGAATAGGGGTAAAAATGTAACACCCCGTTCCCCAAAATAAAATAAAACAAATAAAATAAACACATATCAGAGTTTTTCCCTCAAAAACGGGATGTCACATTTCACCAAACATTTCTTAAATAATTTCCAATAAAATTGCAGCGGAAAAAGAAGCCTGTCATAAACACATAATACGTATATACATCATCAACATCGTCATATGTACAACAAGTCAGTCATCTGCCCAAAATGTACAAAACATCATCATCATATTCAACACAATAAGATACGCCAC